TGCAAGATGCTTGTGGGATGCTGCTACTTCATTTCTTGGTGATCTGGAAGTGTTGGAAGTTGACTTGACGACTACTTCATTTTTTCAGCTGGGGGGAATAGGAGGGTTGAGCCCAAGGATATCCAAGTATTCTTCTCGTATCTTGAGAGCCGCCTGGTGGATTCTGAATGTTTTGCTTGGTTGCTTTCGACCAAGCTCGCAGGCCAGAAAGATCTACGTGCAGCACAGAATTGTGGAGGCCACTAAGAATGCACCTCCTCGGATGCGCAAAGATGGGTTTAAAAAAACGGTTGATTTTGTAGTCAGTTAATGGCTTTAGAAGACACTTCTTTTTGGTTGAAAAACATCTTTTGCCACAGGTTTTTGAGGCTGAGATTAACAGAGGCCTTTAGGCCTCGGAGAAGATTAAGACCATCCAACATCTGTAAAATCAGCACCATATTTTGTTGCATGTTTCAGCATGTTCCAGCTATTTTGATTTGAACAGGGCATGAGGATTTTCATAGCCATACGGGCCATATGTCTTTGATTCTGCAGGCTGGAAACGACGTGGCAGAAAAGATGCTGAACCAAGGAGGCCCTGTGCGAAGCAGAAAGTCGTACTTCCGATATCGTTGGTGAAATATGGTGAAATGACTTCTGCCCGCGATTGGGGTTTGTTTCCTGCTGTTTTTATCTCAAGAACCTTTGGAGACCTTTGAAGACATAGAGTTCAGAAGACATGCGGGACAAGAACACCTTGACATCAAAGTCATTTGTTTGGTGAAGCTGCCATGATGTTAAAACGATTTGGAGCAAAGCTCCCAGTGGGTGGACCGACAAAGCGCTGCTGTCCGGACAGGTCACTTCTATGTCTGTGGCTCCGCGCGACAAGTGCCGGAAGACATCTACACAGCCATGAAGGAGGCAGGACGTCAGGGTTAAAGGTCAGGGTGGAAGTGTTGCGGGATCCAGTGGAAGTCCTGCATGGTGGCAGAATTTGATAGAGGGTTAGTCAGTCCCAAATGAAACAACCAGAATGATGTACTAGGATATGAATGGAAATGATTACTTTAAGTTATAGTTATAGTCGTTTGTATGAGCTCTAGATCCAGTTTGTGACACGGCGTAGTCTCGTACTCAAAGGAGACTGTGGTCATGCAGTTCAGTAGGTCGCATAAATTAAACATGGGCACGATCCTTTTTCTCAAAATATCAGGAGTTGAAGTCAGATTTTGAGGGCAACTGCATATCAATCAAGTGGATCTTCATGGATCTTCCCGAACTATGACTCGGAGCAACAGATGCCCGTGGTTGTTGTAACACAGGTATATGTTAGCACGAGTGCTATATTTCAGGATAGCTTTCAGAGATGTCTTCGTATTTTAATTTTCTGCCTTCGATCCTTTCAACTTCTCATGACTTCGGCCTAGTCAAAACCTTGGCCAAGAGCACGTCCAGGGTCCCGGGTCCCATGTATTTGATAGGACACTTGAGTGATATCACATAGGCATGGGATCACATAGGTATAAATTGCATAAAGACAGAAAAAGAAATCTGCCCATGAGTGGCTTTGGAAAGCAGGTGATGATGGCCCACGAAAGATGTGGGGAGGAAGATGCGGAAGCAATTTTGTCAAATTTGAAGATGGAGGGACGTCCCTTGGCAGCTCGGAGATGCAGACGGTACCAGCGGCAGGATTGAGATAGGGCTTATTTGCCCACTGGAAGGGGTTCAACCACTTGGGTCATCTCATTGCCTGCTCAGGTTACACCGTTGAGGCGTGGTCCTAGATGTTTTGTGAGGCTGGTGCGTGGCACCAATCCTTGTTTCGCGTTTCGAAGTCCTGTTGAGGAAAGAATATGGCTCGCAGGATTTCTAGAATTTGCGAACGGCAAGGCCGTTTTTGTGCAGATCTTCGCTTGAATGCTGGGCCGAGGTTTCGGCTTGTAAGCAAAGCTGGGCTTGGTCCATCTACACTCCCCTTGAACGGAACATGTGTGTTGAAGTGGACCCAGATGACTCAGATCCTTTTGATTTGTGAAATATGTGTCAAGATTACTGGTTGCGGGGTGGTGTCATCCTAGATTCAAAGACATGGTGAAGCCCGCCCTGTCCGGATAGTCCAACAATCCAAAGTGACGTACCCTTTGAAGGTGACAAAGCAAGCTCAGAGCATTGCCGTGTTCGGTGTTTGGAGTGATATATTTGCACTGTTGCTAAGTTTTGGTTCACAAAATCATTACTCTCTCGAAAACCAACGTTGGGCAAAAAAAAATTGGTTCCATGTTAGCGCACCCATGTTGAAATTCATGAGCGGGATAAGTGCCAGGTAGGTGCCATGTGGGTGGTAGTGAGTTTGGACGGTTTTGCACAAGTTTTGGCTGCATGGCATACTAAGATAGAACCCCACAAGCTGCCAGAGAGTGCTCATCCAAGAGTTCCATGTTAGCCATGGCGGCTGACACGGGGAATTCCGAACCATTATGCTGTTTGTGGTGGTTGAGTCATTTTGTCCAACATAAATTCCAAAGTACAAGTTCTGAAGACAAATTTAAACACATACAGTACATGTCAAAACATACACACTCACACACACGAAAAACAAAAACATATCCTCAACACATCTTACAAACACATCGAAAACATATTCAAAACATAAAGAATTAAACAAACACATATATTCAAACTATATATTCATTGCCAATTTTTGATATGTTATACAGATACTTTTTCCCATTTGCCCACCATAAACGTAACATTTTTCATTTTCTCATTGTAGCCTTCCCGTTGGGAGGACCTCCGGCCAGAACCTCCGGGCGCCAAAGCCACGGGGACACTTAGCGGGCTCCAAGTTAGGTTCCACCTTGGCCCAGCGGGAGACACTTGCTCGAGGACTTCGACCCAACAGGGGAAGCTCCGGGCGGGGCCTCCGGGCGCAAAAGCCATGGGGAGACTTACCGGGCTCCAAGTTAGATTCTACATTGACCCAGCGGGAGACACTTGCTCGAGGACTTCGACCCGGTTTCCAGCTTTCAGGGTATGGGGGAGGTCACCATGGGAAAGGTACCATGGGGGTCCATGTTGGTTTCCATGGAAGGTCCGTGTTATATAGTTGGAAGTTAGTCTTTTTCGAAAAAGTCAGCTAAACGATGCTAAACGTGTAGTTTTGGACATTATATTTGTATATTTTTAGCCTTTCAATATATCATATGTCAATTTACATGGAAGCACATTTCTAAATTTAAAAATCCAAAAAGTAAAGAAATTACATAATATCAGTTTTTAATATTTAAAACGTTACACAAATACCTTTTGGCGCCCGGAGGCCCCGCCCAGAGCTTCCCCTGTTAGCAAGTGTCTCCCGCTGGGTCAACGTGAAATCTAACTTGGAACCCGGTAAGTGTCCCCTCCCCCATACCCTGAAAGCTGGAAACCAACATGGAAGCCAACATGGAACCCAACATGGACCCCCACGGTATCTTTCCCATGGTGACATGGTGCCTTTCCCATGGTGACTTCCCCCATACCCTGAAAGCTGGAAACCAACATGGAAGCCAACATGGAACCCAACATGGATGGTGACCTCCCCCATACCCCGGCTGGAACCCAACATGGAAGCCAACATGGACCCCCACGGTACCTTTCCCATGGTGACCTCCGCATGCCCCAGCTGGAACCCAACATGGAAGCCAACATGGAAGCCAACATGGACCCCCACGGTACCTTTCCCATGGTGACCTCCCCCATTTTGTCTTTCTTTTGCTCCTTGTTGCTCTTTCCATCTCTTTCTTAGTTTGCTGATGTTTGCTGATATCTGTTATCCTTTCATGTCGCTTGTTTTTTTTCTCTTCGCTGTCAGGTCTTCTGTCTGTTGCGGCTTAACTTTGGAAGGTTGTGCGACGAACACGGAACCCAACACATATCCAAAAATAAGTCACGACCTTTTCTTGGAGGTGTTTTGGTTTCAGTTCTTTCCCCACCACACACGTGGAACCTGAATAGTTATTAAAATGTGAGCGCAATACGAAGTGAAAAGTAGGGTCGCCCGAAAGTCACTAACATGGAGTTTTGAAGGAAAACGCCTGAAAAACCACTTGGGTTCCAGGTTAACCTTCAAATCATCCTTCAAGGTTGCAGATCGCTTTGTGACAACTTGTTCAAATTCCATGTTGGCCGTTTCAGGGTTCAGTTTGGGCCTGCATTTGGTTCCATGTCAGTTTTTGAGTGATTTTATTGAAAAAATTAGTTGCATGATTTCCTGGGGAACAAAATCCACTTGAGACCGTACCATAGGTTCATGTTAGGAGACCTCAGGAATAGCATGCAGTTCCACGTTGGATTTCGGGGGTGTACCACTTTCAAGCGCTTTGGGACCCTCCTGATGTGAGGCAAGGTAGAGGCTCAACAGGTTTGAAACCAGACATTGATACCTTGGTTGTGGCAGCATTTGCGATCAAAGCTGACCATTTGACGACTCGTCGCCCCTACGTGCCGGCGCACTGCATTCAGTGATGGCGCTCCGTGGACAGTGCCTTGCTCTCACAGTTCAGTCCTCAAAGTTCCGAGGGAAGTCCCCGAAAGACATAAACAGGATCATGGCATTAGTCAACTATCCTTACACTTCGCCATTTTGGAGTACTACGCATGATCTCTTGGTGGTTGAATGATGTTTACCACCCCCTTAAAAGGGTGGCGTTTATAGATTAAAGACAGACAAAAGATCCCTCTTAGCAGCAGCATCCGAAGGAGATCCCATGCAAAGAGCCCAGACTGGGTCTGGGTCGTCATGTTGGCAACGCAGCCCCAAGCACAGGCACCACCGTGAAAAAACACCAAAGAGGGAAGAGTCACCCTACATTTTCAAAACATCCAATGTCCTCTGACGAGGTCAGAATTAACAGATTTGCACCAAGACTGACATGTTTTGAAACCGCCGCCACCTAGGACCAGCCCTTTTGGCCCATACGGCGGTTTATGCCTTCAGTTCCTGATGCGCGGTCAGGAGCGTCAGGAAGAGACTGTGGAACGTTTGGAGCCACTTGGAGCAGGGTCTGGTGCCGCTGACATTGAGTACGAGCAGTTCATGAAGGCCAAGGAGGTTCAGAGGGCCATGTTCCAGGCAGAGAACAAGACCATTGTGCACCAATGTGCCGACACCGACATCATCGAAGCCGCTGAGGGATCTGTGGCATGTATCGATGGGAACCAGGCCGCAGCTCACGTTGCCTACGCCTTCAGTGACTGCGCCTTCATTTATCCCATCACGCCCAGTTCTCCCATGGGAGAGATGGTGGATGAGTGGTCCGCGCAAGGCAGGGTTCCCATGCTGAAGCCAGTCAGCGGCACCACATGACAGGTAAGTGCATGAAATGGTTGAAAGTTGAAATGTTCCTGATAAGACCTGATAAAGGGTACGAGGCCAAAGGCATGGTGTTCCACGATGATTCGTTGTTGTCTACTTCATTCAAGGGTAAGGTGAAAGGCCTTTCTGTCATGAGAGATGCCAATAGAACAAGACAGGAAATCCATGCTATCGAAAAAAGAGAAGAAACAAGCTCTACCAAAGCATGGGGAGCGAAACACTGAAACATGGGGCTGGACATGAACACGTATTCAGAAGAGGCGAAGGCTCCCCAGAACCATCCTACAGCTCTTACACCTCAAACATAGCGGCGTGCTACAGACACTTGAAAGCCAAGATAGACACACGATATGCAAGCAGATCATCATGAATCAACGTTTCTTGATGCAACATTGTAAATAAGCTTCGGCGGTATCCCCAACAGCCGCAACGTTTTATTTTTACAAAACTTTTTGAAGCGTGCTGCGGAGCCAAGCGCTGGAAAAACTTCAGCTGGGTTTCCGTGAGTTAAATGAACCTGACCTGGCTTGGCTTCTGCAACCTTCTCCGGAACCAGTTAAACCTGACTTGGTTTTCCCCCGGGGCTTCTTGGAACCTTCTCCGGAACCTTTCCGGAACCCTGTTGAACTTGACCTGACTCTGCACCAAAGCCTCCCAAACCTTCTCCTCGGAACCTTCTTCGGAACCCTGTTGAGCCTGACCTGGCTCTGAACCAAGGCCTCCCGGAACCTTCTCCGGAACCCTGTTGAACCTGACCTGGTTCTGCACCAAAGCCCTTCTCCGGAACCTCTTCCGGAACCCTGTTGAACCTGACCTGGCTCTGCGCCAAAGCCTCTTCTCCGGAACCTTCTCCAGAACCCTGTTGAACTTGACTTGGCTTTGCACCAAGGCTTCCTGGAACCTTCTCCGGAACCTTCTCCGAAACCCTGTGGAACCTGGCCCCACACTGCACCAAACCCTCCCAGACCTTCTCCGGAACCTTCTCCGGAACCCTGTTGAACCTGACCTGGCTTTGCGCCAAAGCCTCCCAGACCTTCTCCGGAACCGTCGGAACCTTCTCCGGAACCTCGTTGAACCTGACCCGGCACCTGCACCGGGGCTGAAGACCCCATTAGCTTACACGGTTGGGGAAAAATCAATGTCCATTTTTCTTCGCCACCATGTGTGGGCATGGTGCCAGGCCTCATCAACTGCTACGGCCAGAAGCTGAGCGTCACCGAGATGCAGAGTGAAGCTGGTGCCGCTGGCGCTTTGCACGGTGCCTTGAAGGCAGGCGCCTTCAGCACCACTTTCACCGCCAGCAACTTGGGCCTTGAAAGCGGCCAGGGATGGCCAGGAATGGCCAGGAATGGCCAGGGGGTCAGGTGGTGGAGGTTTTTGTGGGTGGTACGCTGATAGCGGTAGCTGCTTTGGTAAGAAAGAGGCGACAAGAGGCATGCGGGGAGGTGGTCTGAGGAGGTTGACTGAGTTGACTGTGCCTTGAAATTGGCTAGAGGTGGAGTGACTTCTGTGTGCCGTGACAGTTCCTCTCAGGTCAGGGCTTGCTGCTGATGATCCCGAACATGTACAAGATTGCGGGTGAGTTGCTCCCTTGCGTCATGCACGTGGCTGCTCGTGCGTTGGCAGGACAGGCGCTGTCCATCTTTGGAGATCACAGTGATGTCATGGCTTGTCGTTCAACGGGCTGGGCGCAGCTGGCTTCAGAATCTGTGGAGATGGCACAGGTCAATGCCATTGTGGCCCACCTTGTTTCAATGGAACGCCGAGTTCCCGTGCAGCACTTCTTTGATGGTTTCCGCACCAGTCACGAGGTGAACAAAGTCAAGTTGATTGACTACAACACCATGAAGACTTTTATCAATTGGGAGGCTGTCAAAGAGCATCACGATTTGGCCATGAACCCTCGGCATCCTCACGTGCAGGGCACTTCGCAAGGGCCTGACATCTTCTTCCAGTGCGTGGAGGCTGGCAACAGCTTCTATGATGGGTTGGCTGATCTTTTTGAAGAGAAGGGGAAGATGATTCAAGAGAAGACTGGTTTGCACTTCGCCCTCTACGCCTATGAAGGCCACCCCGAGGCAAAACACGTGATTGTGGTTATGGGCAGTGCAGCAGTGACTTGCGGAGAGACTGCCAGTTTCTTGTCCAAGCACAAGGGACAACGCGTGGGGGTGTTGAAGGTTCGTCTTTTCCGACCTTGGGACAGTTCCCGCTTTTTGGCAGCTTTGCCAACAACCACCGAGCGCATTTGCGTTCTGGACCGCACCAAAGAGCAGGGCTCGCAGGGTGAACCACTGCTTCTGGAGGTGTCTTCGATGTTGCATGCCAGCGCTCACTCCGAAATTGTGGTGGTTGGAGGCCGCTATGGGCTTGGTTCCAAGGAGTTTACGCCCAACATGGTTCTCTCAATCTACGAAAATCTAGCCCAGGAGAGCCCCAAACCACGCTTCACTGTGGGCATCAACGATGACGTGACCTTCCTGTCGTTGCCAGTGGGCCCATGGCTCAACGTGCTTCCAGAAGGCACCACTGAGTGCATGTTCTATGGACTCGGAAGTGACGGAACCGTGGGTGCCAACAAGAGCGCGGTGAAGATGATTGCGATGGGCACGCAGCTTCATGCTCAGGCAGGACTTCTGCTGTGTCGTGAAATCTTTCAAGATAGCAACCAATTCACGAAAGGTAGCGTCAGCTACCTGAGTTCTCCGTGCTTCAGCACAAGCTTAGGGGGTATTGGGGGGCCAGCCCGTGCAATTCATGGAATTCTCGCCGTTATGTATTGGATATCAATTATAAGGGGGGCCCCCCCCCCCGAAAATGGTCATGGGTTCAATTCCCACGGGTGACGCGGTCACGGGCCCCCACGGGTGACGCGGTCACGGGCCCCCACATTAGAGGCACACTTTCCATGAGGGAGATGTCCCTGTAGTCCAGCATAATTGGTATGCTTCAGCCTCAATAACAGTTGCTGCAAGGGGTCTTAAAAAGGGGTTTTAAATAAACCCCTTTTCGTGCATCATTTCACGCAGCACAAGACGCAGTGTCATGCAGTCATGCTCTGGATAAAATCATCTTACATAGACTGCGCAAAAACGTTTTTGGTGTATCATCTTAGGGGCGCAGCATTTTGACACCACTCCTCTCCCACTACACTACCTTTCGTCCGCCTCCGCCTGCTCTCAAGTCATTATGTAACGATTCAGCCACTGAGACCTAGCACTCTTCAATTTGCCGCCTGTAATGTGGACACACCTTTGTTGAAGTTTGAGACTGCATCCACTTCGGCACTTCCAGGCCTACTTCGAGTACGATGCCAAGAAGAGCGGCGGCGTGACCATCAGCCACTTGCGCTTTGGTCCCAAGCCCATCCATGCTCCCTACAATGTGCGCGCCGCAGACTACCTGGCTGTCCACAAGCAAAGCTACGTGAACAGCTATGTGACCTGGATGCACAGAAGTCCAACAACTGGCTTCATCAGCAGGTCACAAGACATAAATCAATCTCAGTCAGCTGTTAGTGATGCAGTTTGAAAATTCCGTGTCAGTAGTTGGGCTTAAGGAAAATCTAAAAGGAAACCATGTTGTTTGCCGAAATCAATCCTCGGACCGTAGCTTCACTTCCGTTAAAGATCAGCAGAAAGTCGATCCTGCAGCAAGGGATCGACCTATTCTGCCCAGGACATGACGCGCTACTTGAAGCAGAACGCAGTGTGCGTCATCAACTGCTCTTGGGACAAGAGCGAGTTGGAGAAGCAACTGCCAGCCAAAATGCGCAAGGATTTGGCAGAGAAGCAGGCGAGCCATGGTGATGAGGGAGGTGAAACAGCTGGCACAGAACAGGTTCGTTTGATGCGGGGTGCATCGCTTCTTAGATGATTTACCATGGAAAATCCACCTTTTCAAATCTTTTGTAGACGATTTTCCGAAATGTCCCATTAAAACCTCGATTTATAAGAGATTTTAGCTCATTGACATGTTTGATTTTTACGAAGGGTGCTTCATTTGATGATTGGCTCATGATGACTGCTGCCGCGCCAGGCCAAGCTTTTCATCATTGATGCCACGAAGATTGCGGTGAAGGCACGGACGAGTCAAAAAGTCAGACCCACGGGACCACAGATTCTAATCTATTCTTAGTCTTAACATGTCTTAACCATCTAATTATTGGGGTAGCCAATTTTGACCCATATAAATCATATAAATATCATTAGACGCTCCCTAAAAAAGCCTTGGTTTAGGATTGGAGTTGGTCACTTTGTTTCCTCACTTGGGGGTCAATTGAGAGGGGATCAAACCGAAGAGCACGATCCTAGGTCTTTTTTTTTGGGCTACGGTCCCTGAAAATTGACGTCCTCATGGAGGAAATTCACCAATGAACCAGTGGATTACCAGTTGATCATGAATCGATTAAGGGTGAATCCATGGCGATCTGGCAGGCTGGCCTGGGAAAACGCATCAACATGATCATGCAGACCGTCTTCTTCAAGCTCAGCGCCTTGAAGAAGTCCTGGGGTCGGACATGAGATGCCAAAGATCTTGGGGAGGCACTGTAGCTGGAGCCTATGGATTGCTGTAGTTTTTTTCACTTGGCTTTACAAGCCCTAATGGTGACACACAGAACTGATAGACTGCAGTATATTACATTGGCCCCTTGGTCCAAAGACGGTTGTCTGGCAAGATGAAAATACTGGAATCTTCAGAATTGCGTGCTGCTGTTTGAGTGAAAAATGACCATTATTCCATATGGGGGTTTCCATACATGGGGGTATCCAAAAATGGTAGGTATATGATGGAAAATCCTATTAAAATGGATGATTTGGGGGTACCACCATTTTAGGAAACCTCCATATCATTACTATCTACGTTCACTTCGTTTTTTTATATTCTAACTGTCGGTCCCTAGTCCCTTCCTGTATTCTGCATCATCTTGCTCGGCCTGGTGCATGACCTCGCGGTCTGAGGCGCAGTGATGCCTTATGAAGAGGCTGTGGAAATGTTGAAGAAGAGCATCAAGAAGATGTACGGCAAGAAGGCCGAGTGTCAACGCCTGATGGTTCAAAAATTGACTGGGGGTTTCCATACATGGGGGATCCCCAATAGCTGGATGGTTGTAATGGAAAATCCTATTAAGATGTATGATTGAACAATATCAACATATTTCATGAGACTTGCAACAAGGTTTTGCAAGCATTGCGAGGAAGAAAGAACATGGGCAATGCCAACATTGAACGCCACACAACTTATGCACCCACTGGTGAAGTTTTGTTCTCTGACCTCATTTTTTCTAGGTATGTTGAACCTTAGCTTTACCTCAGCAATTTGTGATCAACCAGCTTTGCCGGGGCCCTGATTCACTGTGCAGGGCGACAAGGTGGTGAAGATGAACATCGATGGCGTGGATGCCTCCATTGAGGGCATCGTGCAGGTGGACATCCCTGCAGCCTGGGCATCTCTGGACCTTGGCTCTGAGGCAACTCGACAGTGGGGGTTGGGGTTGGGGGGATGGGAGATATGTAGCTGAGATTTAGATAGGTCCCTTCCCAATAAAGGGATTAAACCGGTGGTGATTCTACAGGAATCTATACAACGCCCAACTTTGATACCATCCCAATGTGTGCCCGTAGCAGACAAAGGTTTCGGGTCGTTTGTTGCAGGCCACCGATGCGCAGAAGCAGAAGGTTGCTTATGGCAAGGGGCCAAGGATGTTCCCAGAGGTGCAAGATGCAGAGCAGTTTGCGAAGCAAGTCCAGTCGCCCTGCAACAACCTCGATGGCAATGCACTTCCTGTGAGTGCCTTCGTGCCCGGTGGCCGAGTGCCATGTGGTACAAGTCAGTACGAGAAACGTGGTATTGCCATCAACGTGCCCAAGGTGGACATGGACAAGTGCACTCAGTGCAACAAGTGCAGTCTCATCTGCCCCCATGCGGCAGTGCGACCATTCCTGGCCACCGGACAAGAGCTCGCAAAGGCACCAGCAGCTTTCAAGGATGGCAGCCGTTCCGCAATCGGAGGTGGTGTCTTGGACAACTACCAGTACCGCATCCAGGTCTCCCCATGGGATTGCACAGGCTGTGAGTTGTGCGTCCGCATTTGCCCTGCTGATGCATTGACCTTGGGACCTGCAGGGAAGGTCATTCAGGAAGAGGAAGCCAATTGGAACTTCGCAGTGACCCTCCCAGATCGTGGTGATGAAATTGACAAGACCACCGTGAAGGGCTCCCAGTTCCAGAAGCCGTATCTCGAGTTCAGCGGGGCCCGTGAAGGATGTGGTGAGACTCCGCATGTGAAGCTCATGACTCAGCTTTTCGGTGATCGACTGGTGATTGCCAATGCGACAGGCCCTTGCCGGACAAAGTGTGGCAATTGATGAGCTTTTCCCAGCAATTTCCAGTATCAAGTTGCATTTTTGAAGTTTATGTATGTTTATGTGACCTTTCATGACATATGACCTTTTTTCAGTTTTCCCCTGGCAGGCTGCTCCTCCATCTGGGGTGGCTCCAACCCATCCTTCCCCTACACGACCAACACGAAGGGCGAGGGCCCTGCCTGGGCCAACTCGCTCTTCGAAGACAATGCCGAGTTCGGCTTCGGCATGCGCAAGGCCGCTGGAATGTGACAGGTGTTGGACTGCTATGGCATAGATTGCCCATTTAGATCCATTTAGTTCGATAATTTACGTTTTAAGATGATTAACACATGATGTTTTTTCATAGCAGAAGTGTCAAATTACCAGAGGGTACTTCGGATGGGTTGCGGTATTATTTTTTCAGAACTTTGATAGACATGCATGTATTATCATTGTATAGTATTGATATCCCAAATGATCGAGATTTCAACGGCCTAGGGAATCCTAGGCCGGCGTTTCCCCGAGATTTCGACATCCCATCTATTCCCATTTCCGCCTTCCAACCAGGCCTTCAAACAGCGCCGTGACTACTTGGCCATGCAAGTGGAGGTGTGGCCTCCAGTAGCGAGTTCCATGCGCGCCTGGAAGTTGTCGAAATGGCGCATCTATTTGCAGAAAATGTATGTCAGTGTGAGATTTCATTTGAAGTGCCAGAAATATCTATATAAATATTATATAAATGGTATATATTAGACATCGTCACCTGACCGCTAGTCATTTGCTTTTTGGATGTATCTTTTACCGACTTCCATCGGCAGGACACCTTGGGTGACAAGGCGGTGACGATGTCCGATGAACTTCGACAAGCCTTGAACCAGTTCTTGGTGATGCGCAAGGATTTGGCCCTGTGCCCATGAAATCCCGCGGTTTGAAGCCAAGATGGCAGTGATGGAACTTCATCCCAGCAAACTGTGGTATTTCATAGGTGATGCCAAAAATGGGATGTGGTCATAGCCACTGTGGGAACCGCTTGGTGTCCAGGTTGATGGAGATGGTCGCGTGTAAGAGATGGTGCACCAACTGCTAGCATCGACAGATCACCTCTTGAAGGTTTATGTGCTACAACTACGGCACACCCCCTAATTCAGATCGAATAGTTCGGAACAAGAAAGCATTATCCGGGGGTTTCTTCAAATTGGATGATTTGGCATTTATTCCCCATGTTTGGAAACCTCCATCTATACGGTACCTGAAAATGGCGTTGAAAGGCATCTTTTCACTGCAGGAGAACATGCACGACTTGCTCTTGCCAAAGGGTCGCAGCTCCTTGACGGCACATAGGACCAGAACGGTGGAGAGTGACCAGCAAATAGTGTGAAGTATTCAACCTAAAGTGGTAAGTTCCATTCAGCATGTTCAAACATGACACCTTTTCATGTGATCCTGCAATTTCAGGGATCCCTTCAGCCAACTCTGGCAACCGTGCCCACGTTTGGCTGTAGACAGCCTTCTGAGCGCTACTTGCTGCAATAGGTGGAAAACCGCCCGTGCCGTGCACTGCAATCGAGAAGTGTAACAAGTACCTTTTGATTGGTGGGGCCGGTTGCTACCTGACATTGGTAGCGGAGCCTGACGAAACAGGCTCGGAGCTCAGGCTGACGCCTGGCTCCTGGACTACTTGGTCTACTTCTTCCTCGCCATTGCCTCCTTCCAGGTCACCTTCACCTACGACTACTCTAGTCACTACGCGGTGGACTCCGTGGACCTTGCTGTGGTGGACTTCGGCACTTGCTCTTGCATTGGTGTTCTACTTGGACTCCATCGTCTACAGCGTCTCTGAGCATCCTTGTGGAGACCTACGGCACTTGCTTCGAGCATTTTTGAAGAGCTCTACGTCACTTGCTTCCGAGCACCCTTGCGGAGACCTACGTCACTTGCTGGGGACTACTTCTTGGCCGAGCACTACGTGTCTGAAAATGTCTTTGTCTAAGGACTTCAAAGATGTGGCCACGTGGAACGGTGAACCCACCACGTGGGGCGACTACGCTCGACAGGTGAGGCTCCAGTGGGAGAAGACACCCTCACACAAGAGGAAACTGTTGGGGCCAGAATTGGCCAGCAAACTGACAGGTCGTGCATGGGCTGTGACACCAAGCTTGGACCACAAGAAGCTTGGGAAGAAACATGGTTGCAAGTATCTGTTGCGATACTTGCAGGATCGCTTGTGCCGCACGGCAATTCCAGATGCTGGTGCACGTCTTGAAGACTTGCTCATTAGACTTCGCAGACCGCTTGGGATGTCTATGAGCCAGTGGTCAAATGAAGTCTTGGAAGCTTACAGGAAGGTCCAACGGGCCCTCATACGTGCACGTCAGTTGCAGAGGACTCGAGATGGAGTCAGTGTCAAGACGGAGTCCGAACCACACCGAGAACCTTCGTCCAAACCTACATCACCGAAGAGCGCTACACGGACTTTCCCTACGAGCCCTACACAGCGATCAACGACGAGCCCTTCACGGAGGACACCTGGCTATGGGGCAGATCCTATGGCGCCGGTGCAGGAGTCGGACGATGACATGGGTGACTACCAAGCTGTTCCTGCGGAAGAACCAGATGAAGAACAAGCGCATGGAGAAGAGTGGACTGAGGAAGAATGGAAAGCTTGGAGAAAGAAGCAATGGAAAGAGTACTACGAGGACTCCAGCAGTGGAGAAGATCTGCCTTGGGATGAACTGCAGGTAGAGGAAATTCAGGTATTACCTGATGAAGTACTTGGCTGGCTACTCCTTCGACGTGCCAGTTTGAGCGCTTCGAGCAGACTCTCTGTTCAGGCCAGCGTCAACAACTCCCTCAAGTTCCAGGACATCGAATTGGCCTTGCGAGACCAAGAAGAGGAGTTGTTACAGGCTGACAATGCTCGAGGCGGAGGACAACATCACAAGCGCCGATCTTACTGGGTTGAAGAAGAAGGCACTTGGGGACTGTTAGCTGCAGTTCCTGATGACATGGACGAGCAGGCCGAGATTCACTGGGTTGGATCCCAACTTCCAGCCGAGGTCTATGACCCTGGTACCAATGCGGAGAACTATGAGGACGAAGAGGTCTTTTGGACTTGGGAGACCGATGGATACCATGGGTATGTTCCAGATGGATACGGCTACTGGCTAGAGACAGATGGATATGGAACTTACTGGAGCGCAGATGAACCGGCTTTGGACTTGACGCCGGAAGAGAACAAGGAGCTAGAAGAGGCCTATGCGATCTATGAGAACAAAGCCAGAACCTTCATGCAGAGCCGTCAGCTACAACGCGCCAAAGGCGCAAGCAGAGGATTCTACCCTCTCACGATGATGAAAGGTGGTGGCCGAAAGGGCAAATCCAAGGGCAAAGGCAAGAAGGGCAAAGGCTTTGGACATCCTATGACGTCTTCTACCTCTTCTACATCTTCGAAGCCGCTGTTTGCTGCTCAAGGTGCAGAAGGATCGACAACTACGACAAGCAGTGGATGTTTCATCTGCGGCGACAAGGGCCATGGTTTTCGCCAGTGTCCCAAAAGAAGTTCTTCGTCTACGGCATCTTCAGGAAAGGGCTCCAAGAAAGGCACCTTTTGGGTGGAGACTCTTAATGCTTCCTCTTTGGCCTTCATCGGCATGGTGACTGCGATGAACGAGATGGTCTACGATACTTCTGGATTTGGAGTCGATCTTGGAGCGACAGAAACCGTGGGATCCTTAGAAGCTCTTGAGGCCTTGATGGCGATGAGATCCCACATCCACGGCAACTCAGAACCTGTGGAAGTCTTCACAGGCCCATCTTCAAAGAAGCCTTTCAGGTTTGGCAATGGTGGAGTCCAGTTTTCTTCGAGCTATGTCTTGGTGCCTCAACGTCTTGGAGAACAACTGGTGATGCTGGGACTCTACACCATTGACGCGGAGAAGGTTCCGATCCTCATTGGCATGAAGACTTTGGTGAAGCTGGGCGCCGTGATCGACGTCTACGGCCAGTGGATGGTGCTCTCGCACGTTTCTCCTGAGGTGAAGATACCTCTGGCCAAGAGCAAAGCTGGCCATCTTTTGGTCAACCTGACCATGGACTGGCTCAACGTGAGTCAACCCTTGCAGAGCTCAGCAAATGATGGAGCATACATGGCGAGTGCTGCAACGGTCGATGTTGAACAGGCATCAGGTGGACTTTCAAGGTCTTTGGACTTGGACTTTCATGAGACCTCAGTGATGCCGTCAGTGTCATGTTGTTTGGATGGTGTTGGTGATGTTTGGATGATAGAAGATGATGAAGAAGAGATGCAGGATGATGACATGCCTGCCGATGATGTGTTCCTCATGGACCAACACCATGCTCATCAACCGCTGCCTTCAGCAACCCAAGAAATGCGAGATCGAATTCTTCAGCAGTTGGTGACGCCCAATACCAACTCTGATCCCCGTCTTCTTAGCAATGGCTCCCAAGACGGCTTCAACCGAGAACAAGGGCAACAAAGTGAGGGCTCAAGCTCCCCCGACTGTGGAGAAGTACGACTGGGCCCGCACTCAAGGTCCCGATCCCCGGGACGAGCGCACTCTGGGCAGTCCCTGCTTTGGGAATCACGTGGAACAGCCTCCGGGCAAAGGTTCAACCAGTGGCTCCAATCAATGGGCGCGGTGGACGGGATGCGCGGCGTGTGGTCTTCGCCTGTCTTACGCACCGACATGGGGCAGCCACGGGATGACCCGAGCCGCCGGTCCACTATGCCAGGATGTTCGTCAACAGTTGGAGATCAAGAAGCCGGAGAAGGGCAGCGTGGAGTTGAACAACAAGAAGATCTCCTACGACGCTCAGGAGCGATCTTTGGAGCAGAAGCTGGCCAATGTCAAGTCCAAGAAGGAGGAGTGGCTGCAGACGCGAGCCAAACACCCCATGGCCAAGATGGAGGCGCTCCCCAAGGGCTACCCCAAGGCCAAGTCGGCCGTGGAGAAGGGCAAGGCGGCGATGTCAACCGAGAACATGCAGCGCATGGCAGAGCTGCAGCGCCAGATCGCCGAGCTCGAGTCTTTGGACCAAGCGCCTGTGGGATCAGGTACAATGCCTTTGGAGAACCTCTCCGTCGAGAACGGCGGATCCTGCGCATCCCAGGAGAAGGAGGAGGACATGAACAAGACACCGGGCCGGAAGTCCCGCAAGCCGACGGAACCATCAGAGGAGTTGGACTACAACCAGCGGGGCATGGCCAACATCAACGAGGAGGAAGACCAGTGGACAGTGATGTCCGGATCGCCACCGGCGTGAACGTGGCTAAGGACACAACAGCAGTTTCACGAGCATGGAATTCAACACCAAACCCTTTTCCAGCGGCATCACCTACCGCTGACAGCAAGCGCACTGAGGAAGGCAACAGTTTCACCACAGATGGCATTTTGCCTTCTGATGCTTCTTCTGGTGGCAAGAGGAAGAACACTGCGGATGGCGATGAGGTCTTCACCGTCAACCTTGATGCGGAGGAGACGGCGTTCCTGGTCCAAGAGCTCGACAAGCAAAGCTCTGAGATTGATGAGCTCTTCATTGCCTTGAAGGCATGTGACCCCAGTGGCCGTCCTCCCACAGTGCTGGAATTATGCTGTGAGGAGGACAGTGGACTTACAAAGGCCCTGGAAAAGCTTGGAGTCGAGGCATCCGATGTGGACTTCATAATGGATGCGACCTTAACAAGAAAAGTGGCTTCAACAAGGTAATCTCCTTGCTCAAGTCAGAGAAACCTGACTTGGTGTGGGTGTCGCTTCCTTGCGGCCCAACTTCTTCCATTCAGGAGCTCAACATGCTCACCCCAGAGGGCTATGCGAAAGTTCAAGCTAAGGTGGCCAAATCTAGAAAGCTAGCAAGCCGAGCTGTCACCATCATGGAGATGCAGGTTGCTCAAGGTGGTGAAGTAGCTCAAGAGTGGCCACGGTACAACAAAGCTTGGAACTTCAAGTCCATCCAGAACTTCTGGCGACAATACCAGCACTATGAAGCCTATGCGGATGGCTGTGCTTATGGACTTAGAGCACCTGATGGCGGAAGCATTCGAAAACCTTGGCGGCTGAGGAGCACTTCGCAGAGAATCTGGAAGATGCAGAAGCTATGTGATTGCCGAGGACCTCACACACCTTGTGAAGGAGGAGCTCTCACGAGGCTGACTGCCTTGTATCCTGTCAGAATGTGCCAGCAAGCGGCACGAATGGTGATTGAAATTCACTCCGACAGAGAGGCTCAGAGCTACGCAGTCGAAGATGCCACAGACTGCGACATGGACTGCTTGAAGCCCTACACGGACCAGGAAGTGCAGAAG